GGGGGGGGGAGGCTTCGGGGAGGGAGGAGAAAGAGGAAGCTCTGATGAGCCGCTTCCTTCTCTCACGGCAGCCCAGCGCCCCACTTCCTCCTCTTACTTCTATTTTCTTTGGGTGTCCTTAACCCTTCAAGTTGCCTGCACCCCTGCTGTGAAGACGGGCACCTCGGCCCCCACCTTTCTGCAGGAACCTTCCTGGAAACGCCAGCCCATCCAGACTTGGAGCACTGCTCCTGCAGCCTCGGATCCGGCTTCCCACCTGCCCTCGCCAGCACCGGGGCTGGCCGTGGCCCGGCCCCGGGAGGAGCGGGGTGCTTCTGCCTCCAGGCTCAAGGCCCTCTTCTCGCCTCCTCCTCTTCCCCGACGGACGACACGACAGACGTTCTTATACCGAGAGTTGGAAGGACTCATCAGGGAATCCCAGAAGTCACTGCACTTCCCCGTGCCTCAGTTTCCTCATTTACAAAATAGGGATAAAAGAAGGTTGGCTACCGCCTACAGCCCTTGCAATGGAAGAATAACACGTTATTTCAGGGTTAACGGAGGGCAAGGCTGAAGTCTGCGCTTCCACACTGAATGGGACTTTGTGTCACAATATCTGCTAGAGGCGTGCAACTTCGGCCACAGGTCATACGTCGTTGGGCCAAAACCACAGCCCTACCTGAGGCTTTGTGAGATGTGAACAATAGCTTTTCTTTTCCTGACTTAAAAAAGCAACTTCTCCCAAACGGATAGAAACAGAAAGTACCCCTGGAGGAACACAGAGGATGGTTCCAGCCGGGGGATGGAAAGGCGCTCAGAACCCACCACGTGCCTCTCCTGCTCCTCGTCCACCGCCCTACCCCCCACACCACCATCCCACAGATGAGAGCCAGAGCCAGGAGGACTGTGCGAGGACACACCGAAGGTCACCCTACTTGATAAGGGTGGGCCGTGACTCTAGTCTTCTGTCTCCCCACTTTTTCCACCAGAATATGCTGGCATCCGGGAAAGAAGAAGCGGAAAGGCGGAGACAGCATGGAGGTGGCCAGAGAGGGGAAGAACTGCTCTGGAATCAGGAATGGAGCAGCAGGAATGACAGTGTGTGCCACATCGAAATGTTGGGGTATGAGAGCACTTTGAAAGGTGAAGAAACTGCTAGAGAGTTAGGGGTTGTTTGACTTCTGCCCTATCCTGGTGTTCCTAAAACTGAAGGTGGAGGGAAGGCACAGCGGAATGGCTCCTTAGAGCTCACTCCCAGGACGCTGAGCATCCCACGAAGCCACCTCGTCCTAGCGGGCATCTCTTCTCCACCAGCATCAGTGACCCAGATGTTGAGCTTGCACGTTATTCTCCGCTCAGACCCCGAGTTCCGCCTGAGTCTCCCTGTCCCTAGAGGGCAGACCAGCAACCGGATCGGATCAGCACCTGACACCTGTTGGCCAGGACTTAGAAGGAAGGCCACCCAAGCACATTCTTCTGCCTCTTCTACTCCCCACCTCCCCAAAGCGACTTGAAAGACTCTGAAAGATCCTTTCGCTCATTAGGGGCCTGATTACCTACAACTTTGTACAGCTCTTTTGTTGCTTTATTTAAAAATATATGTCTATTTGTAATCGCTCTCCTTCCTTTCACCACCTGATATTTTCAAAGAGGAGGCTCCCCCTGTCTCCACTTCCTCATCTTACATTTATTCTTCGGTCCTCTGAAAAAAGGTCACCAGGAAAACCCCAATGCAAAATCCAATGGTCTCCTTTTCTTACCTCACTGCTGCATTCGATGCCACCCCTCCTTGAAAATTCCCCCTGGGCTTCTTCTTCACTTCTGACCACTATTTATGTTTTCTTTTTCTGACTTCATTTTCACCATCCTTCCTTAAACATCAGAATGCCTGAGGTTTTATACGAGGCTGCTTCTCCTCTCCCTGGACAACCTCATCCATTTCCATCGCACTGATCCCTCCCAAATTTATAGCCTGACTTCTCTCTTGAGCTCCAGATCTATCATTCCAAGTGCTTACTGCACACCTGTAACTGGGTAACCAATCCACAGGAACCTTAGTCACTCCATGTCCTAAAATAAATTCCTCATTCCCCCCCCCCAATTCCTTCTCTTGCCTTCCCTATCTCAGTTGACGTTTTTACTATTCACCCAGTTTCAGTGCTAGAGATCTTGCCAAACAAGTAACATATCCAGAATATGTAAAGAACTCCTTCAATTAAAAAGTAATAATAACAAACAATCCAATTTGAAAATGAGCAGAAGACTTGAACAGACACTTTACAAGAGAAGACATACGAATGGCCAAGAAGCACACAAAAATGTGCTCAGCATAATTAGTCATTAGGGAAATGCAAATTAAAACCCCAAGTTACCATTTTACACTTATTAGAATAGCTAAACTTAAGACCGGCAACACCAAATGTTGACAAGGATGCGGAGCAACTGGAACACTCATATATTGCTTGTAGGAGTGAGTGTAAAATGGCACAACTTTGGGAAACTGTCAGTGTCTAATAAAATTAAATATACATCTTGGGCCGGCCCGGTGGCACACTGGATAGTGCGCCGCTTGGGAAGCACGGCGGCGCTCCCGCCCGAGGGTTCGGATCCCACGTACAGACCGGCTCCCGCTCACTGGCTGAGCGAGGCGCGGGAGCAACACCGAGGGTTGCGATCCCGTTGCCGGTCCCCGGCCCGGTACGGGGGCAACACTGAGGGTTGCGATCCGTTGCCGGACACGGAAAAAGACAAAAGACAAAAAAAAAAAAAAAAAAATTAAATATACATCTACCTCTGACACAGCAATTTCACTCTTACATATATATACGACATAAATGAATGTATATGTCCACACAGAAAAATGTATATGAATGATTACAGAAGATGTATTCATAATAGCACCAAACTGGACTCAACCCAAATATCATTAATCATGGAATTTTTTAAATTGTGGGATAGTAATACCATGGAATGCTATTCAGCAGTAAAAAGAAATAAATTACTGATATATGTATTAACATGGATGAATTTCACAAACATTATGTTGAGCAAAAGAAGCAAACACAAAAGAAAAAGTACTTCATGGTTGTATTTATATGAAGTTCAAGAACCAGCAAACTAATCTATAGTGACAGGAGTCAGAATGGTGGTTATCTTGGGGAAGGGGAGCAATTCAACTGGAAAGGTGGCATGAGTGAATATTCTGGGATGATAGGTACATTTCTAGATCAGGGTGGTGGTTAAATGGTGTGTACATATGAAAAAGTTATTGAGATGTTCATTTAGAAGTTGCATATTCTATATTGAGTGCAATAAGTCAGGCACAGAAAGAGAAATACCACATGTTCTCACTTATTTGTGGGAGCTAAAAATAAATAAATACACACAAAAATGGGGGGAGGGCGGGGAAAAAGACACAACAATCACAATTCCTTGAACTTGTTAAGACAAGTGAACAGATATGATGTTGATGGGTGGGAGGGGGGAGAAGTAGAGGGGAGGGAGGAATTGGTAAAGGGATGCGAAAATCAACTACGTTGTATATGATAAAATTAAATTAAATTTAAAAAAAGAAGTTGTATATTCTGCTCTTTTAATTATATTTCTTACATTAAACATGTGGGAAAAGAAAGTCCACATTGGGCTTTTATATCTCCATACCTTCCTCACTCTGATCCCTCTGCTGAGAATGCTCTCTCCACTTATTTACTTGACCGATTACTTACTGTATATTCATCACAACCAGCAGAACCACTCTCCTGCTACTCATGGATAAATATAGTCTCCCTCTGATAAAGATGAGCAAACAGACAAAATACAAAGACACAAAAATACAAAAAGATTAGGCTTTCAAAAGGAAGGGACGTGATCAGAGAAAATTAGCATCTTTTGAAACTAAATTTCCACAAAAGAAGGAGAAAATTTGTTTTAAAAATTTCCCATTCAGGTTTTTAATAATATTTGACAAGATATTGCCCTTTATAAATATAGTGGATTGAATAATTAAGAAATTACAAGCTGAGATTGGGAAACATTTTGGGCTTGCTAAATGTAAAGCTCTATGGGAACAGCGAACAGAAGATGGGAAGCTGAAGAAAGTGGAATGTGTGAACTAGAATACAAGGTTGAGAATTTATCTTAGAATTCAGAGGAAAACTGTAAGAGAAAAGTTGAGCTGTGATGGCTAGAGTATAGAGATCTAATATATGTATAATAGGAATTCCACAAGCAGAGAGAGGGAAAAAATAAAATATGTATAATCTGGTCAGTTAGCTCAGATGGGAGAGCATGGTGCTGATAACACCAAGGTCAAGGGTTTGGATCCTCATAGCAGCCAGGCCCCATGCGCGCACACACACACACACACACACACACACACACACACACACACATGGCAGGAGAAATTTTTTCTGAACTGAAGGAAGAGTTGCATCTTCTACTCAATCTTACTTTTCTATTAAGATACAAGTTACCAAAAATTAACTTAAGAAAAGACACATCTGGATAGACCAATAACCGTGAAATTTTATAAATTATCAAAGAACTTCTCT